GGGATAGGGGGAATAGGTATAATGTAAATTGTATGATGATATCGTGTGTGATAGGGGAATATAAAGTTTATCATCTTGGATAGAAGGGATAGGAACATAACACAAATTGTACCAAGGTAAGGTAGGAGGGATTAGAAGGGTACTTATATTGTAGCATGGTTTCTTCGAGGAAAGAAAAAGATACAAAGTCGCCTATGAAATATCGGAGTAAAATCATAATGGTCATTATGCTAGAGGGAATGTCTGATTCGTTTAAGCAACCAATGAAAATCCTACAGATTTACTGTGTACCATTTCAATGAAATTGAGCTTGAACACAAAATCCATACTTGAGCACGAGAACGGTTTCATGACCACGGGCCCTGGTTCTGCAGGGAATCGGGAAGGGGAACATTTGTTCGCGTATTTCGATCAATTTAATAATGTAAGCAAAACATTTTCCATGGAACTTGTATGTTTGGAAATGGAAGAGTGGAACCTGTACCGGGGAGGACTGGGTCGCCTTTTCGATCAACGTTGGACTTCAGCCAGAAATCGACAAAGTGGCGAAGGTCGGTAGCCATGAAAGTGTCCTTCTCTTTGACCAACGCCTTGGTTAGGAACGCCTTCAGCTGGTTACTGGATGACGTCATAGAATGCAGCTGTTAATTTGAGCAGAAAAAAAATATAGTTGTTATTATTAAAATTTTAATATAAAGATCCCCGTACCATTGCAAAAATACTCTAACTAGGCATTGCAAACTGATTTGTTTCCCGGCATGACTTTAGCGTTAATAAATCAATCCTGAAAGGAAAGCTTTACTTTGCAGAATGCGGAACTTTGATAAAAAAAAAAGTAATAGAGTCATATTAAAAAAAAAAAAAGTTGTTATGAGAGAAAAAATCAGCATCGCTAGACCAAGATTCGAAACCTGAACTTCAATTTGTTCTACTTTTGATCTAACCAATTTAGCTACCTGATCTACGGAAAGCTCCTGGCCCAAATATGTCGTTTTTTAAATACTTTCTCTCTCCGGATTCGACCGGGTTTTGGATATACATTTCACGTGTACTTCCAGTGTACATCGAAAATCTGAGAGTTTCTCAAAACAATATGCAAAATAATCTGGTATGCGGTTCCAGACTGCATATCTAATATTAGGGAGCTTTTCAAGAGACATCCCTTTTTAGGATGTAAAATTTTAACCATTTTCGTCGACGGTGTTGATTGCTTCTGTTTTACTTTAACACCGGAAGTATACATGTATGACTACTTAATACACCTTGTGACTGCCAAAATCATGTGACTTTTCCCCCGGAAACTTGTTTCTCAGAAACGACCTATTGCGCTCAAGTTATATCAAGAACGACATGAAGGGGAGGTAAATATATGTTTACGAAATTCTCTTAGTATTTTATCTGCGGACAGGACAGGAATTGTTTACCATGATTGGGCTCCCTCGTACGAAAACCCGATGAAATGAAGTACAGTTTTTATACAGTGCTCGGATGACTTAGATTCAAAATAATTTTAATTTGATTATAATAAAAAGTCGTTTTACGATTTTATGTATCGTTTACATTGCATCTGCTTTTTATAACAAAACCATTTAACAACCTTTTTAATAGCCTTTTATAAAATTTGAAATTAATATATTTGTGAATCTACGTGGAATGTGGACAAAACATTTAGAACTGACGTCGTAAAGTTGCAACACCAAAGGTCAGTCATAATGTTATATATATATACGTACCTTGGATGACGACGTAAACAGGCTGGCAAAGGGGAGATAATTGTGGGGGAACTTTATTGGCGAGATGTTGCACACGGGTTTCAAGGCATTAAGTAATCCTCTTCCTTCTTCCCTGTCGGTGTCATATCTGATTTAACAAAATAGTCATATACAAATATTTATTTTTTACAATATGTATATATAGTATCGTACTGCTGGACTGTACCAGTTTCTAGACGGTAGTGTTTGGCTCTGTGGGACGTATCTTGTCCGATGCGCCAAAGCATTAAAACAACAAACAACTATATCTCTACATGTGAGTAGTAACAGAGTCATATGTATGATAGTGATTACCTGGCGTGGTATTATCACTTCCCTGATTCACGGGGTTTTAAAAAATAGCTATCTTTGGATGAACAATGAACAGAGACAGATAAACAGATACAGCTAAGATAACCATTACCAAAGTGCGCCGTATGAGCGAGCAGCGGATGGCGGTGTGTTAATGATATAAATACCGCCGGACAGGACATTTCAACTAAAGGTGTACGTTTAATAATAATTTCTGATATTATTTCCTATTTACTGTAGTTCAATAATAATTCTGTTCTAATTTTAATACAATTCGGAGAGATTTGGTGACATGCGATTTTTGTAAGATTTGAAGTTCTAACATTGCATCGTACCGTTAAGTTGACTTCAAGACGGGTTCAGTCTGCAACACAGCATTCTTATACTGCCATTTATTTCTCAATGCGACTTTGGCATTGTAAAGGGGTTGTCCAATAGAATCAAGAAGATATATAAAAGAATTGATTAGCGAATTTTGATATATATTGGCGATTACCAAAGAGTCAAATGAAACAAGTGTAGTTTACTATATAAATCAATAGTTGGAGGGGTAATTTAAAGATGTAGTGCTGCTACAGAATATGTTACCAAAACGGTCGTTAGATATCGTCTTAGAAACTGAGTATAAGTTTTGATATCTACATTTGCATGTCATTGTCACTAGATAACCTACTTGAAAGCTGTGCCATTGATAGGACTTTCAATGATATGTACCACGAGACACAATTCTAAGCCAAACAGCATGCGACAATACGCTGTTCCAGTTATTGAACGTTCAGGTTGTCGATAAGGCGGAAATTTTAAAGTTAAAATTTAATGTGTAACTTAAAAAAAACGTGAAAGGCAGAGAAAACGTATATATGAGCATTAACAGTTTGTATAAGGCATTTATGATCTGTTTGAATGACACACCTTTAAAAGCAAAAAGTTCGTTTGCAAGGCTATGCCATTCAATTAGATCATGACCGCCATACAAAACAGTTTAATGCTAAAAATATAACATGAATAGTGATTGATATAAAAAAAAGTTACAACCTGGATATTTTGATAAATGTGAGCAACATACATGTATATGTATGTCATTTCGTAAACAATGCTTTGCTACTATTTAGCAGGAAACTTCTTAGATAAGTTTCGATTAGATAGAATACCTTTACCGGATAAAATATGTGAAAAGTTTCCTATAAGAACGCGTTTTTCTGACTGTGCTCAGATTTTACATCTCCTCAGTTCCGTCCTTGCTGCCAAATATATTTGACCTAGTGGTTCAGTTAGTATGGCTTATTCCAAGTCCTATTTCCTATCAACTCATCTAATTCGCAGACAGATAGCCATACGTTTAGACATTTTTCGCCGCCGGCTGTCGCCATTCTTGTTAACCTAAACGGACGACAGGAAGTACGCACGAGGTATATATCTTGTCTTTTTACCGGTGAAATATCAGAAATTATGAATTTAGATTTTTTTTTATACATTCTCTGCAGTGAAAGCAATTCGTACAATAAAGGATATCACTTTAAGTATTTACCAATCAGAACAGTACTTTGTATTTACTGTTTTAAAGTCACATTTTCCCGTCAGGTGCAGATGAAGCGACAGCAGATTTTGTTTTTTCGTAAACCTTCACTAGAAACGCTAGAATATTTTCTCATTATTCATTCATATCTCGCAAAACCTTATTGTCAAGCGTGATGTCATTAAAATATGGCGTCAAATAACTTTTAAATCCTGAGCCATTTTACACAATAATATTTTCGTGTAATAAGTAGAAAGTTTAGCGCTTACTTAACACGTTAAATTCCGTATTTGTTTATTTCGTATGGCAGATTCGCACTCGTGAAAAGTAATATGTCAAACTAGTGAAACAAAAAGGAACCATTCAGATCGTAACTTTCTTGACAAAAAAAAAAAAAAATGGAAAATAAACATCCCGCAAAATCTTAACGAATTTCAGTATGACTACTACCAGGCTGTGCTGAGACTATGCACTCTGTCGGACTTTTCTCAAGCCTGAGAGTCGACATGTCTTTGTGTGAACGGTAAACACTTAAGTAAGTAACTGCCTGTGTATAAACATGCAAGATAACAGCACGGCCCAAATGAATGTCAGAACTATTTATATCACGTGGTAGTTACCTTGCTAGTGTTAATCCGACTATTTACCATGACAACGCAAATTTTTATCAATGTGTTGGGTAAATGTACAAATCTGTTTGTTCTCTTAACAAGAATAAAGCTCCTACACATTTAACAAGAATAAAGCTCCTACACATGAACTCGTTAGTGCGAAAATCTGTATATGTTTCGGAATTTTGGAATCCGAATGATGTAAAAAAAAATCCGGAAACCAATAAATGTATGGATTATAAGTTTATAGTACGCCATGTATTGAATCGGTGACATTTTTTGCATTCCTCCATGTTTTTTTAACTAAAGTACATTGTAGAATTTTTTTAATCCGAACATTTTCAGCACATTAAAAATTGATCAATCAAAATAAAATTTAAAAATATTGAATTTCCGTAAGTATGTACACTTATTTATTTTATTAGTATGTAGTACAGATAATGGTAAGCTAAAAGACTTACTCACCTCTGACCCAACAGAAACCCGCATAAGACATTGAGGACGGATTTAGTAAGGATCGCCCTAGGGTTGAGTGGAGTACATTTCTCCGCATATATTTCATTGGCAAGGGAAATCGCCTCGTCATGAATGCTTTCCTCGAAGCCGCCTCCGCCAAGCCAAGGGTGTCTCACTGACGTGTCGACAAGGTCATGAACTCTGGTCCAATGGTCACCATCACTCCATAGCAACCCTAAAAACAGCAACAAGAAATATAACATACTCATGATCATCCATTTTAATCCATAACAACCAGGGATAAATAACACATACGTCTGTTATAATCCATAGCATCCACAAACACAGTAACCCGGATTAGCTGATACATGCACATGTATCTGTTATAATCCATAACAACCCTAACACAACTGCGGGAGTAAGAACACATTTATCTGCTATAACCCATAGCAACCATAAATATAGCAACCGGAAATAACTCACACATTGATCTGTCATAACCCATTAGCAACCATATATAGAGCAACCGGGAGTAGATAACACATGTATCTGTTAAATCCATAGCAACCTTAAACACGGCAGCTTGGAATGATACATTTAACACATGTATCTGTTATAATCTATAGCAACCATAAACACAGCAACCGGACATATTGCAAATCAATTCCTAAACACAGCAACCGGAAATATAACATACTCCTCCATCATAATCCATAGAAACTCTTAACACAGCAACCAGGAATGAAACACGCTTATCTCTTACACTATATATCATCCACATCATCAATATACCTAACCAACCGAAATATAACACCCACATACATATAACCCATAGCAACCATAAACACAGCGATTTCGGGATACTTGTATAGTCTAGATCTTTTTAGATCAACTCGGCCAGGTATTCTTCAGATTATTATATGACGCGGGCGACAGTTTAGCGACGGGAAGGTCATTTTTATCAAAAATTCAACACAATTTGTTTGCCTAAAACAGTTTCGAAATGGGCACTAGATTGGGTACTGGTGAAATGTTCATATAGATGTTCCAACCAGACAAACTTTTTTACTTTTGACTTTAAACATATTTTATTGTCCAAATATTGGCACAAAAGGATCAGGCACAAGTTATTTCAACTTATGAAGCCGTCTCCTATTAACATAACAAATTTACAGACAAATGATGGCACAAATAATTATAAATTCAATTTTTAAAACAAGTCAATTTTTCACGGGAATAAACATATATAAGCATAAAGTTCAAAATCTTCCGCTGGATTTAATGAATTTTTGCACATGATCAAATAAGTAATAATTTTCCTCCAAAGCCAACAACTCATTTCCAAATAATAGTAGTTTTAAACTTATTTGTGTATTTAAATTACTTAAAACTTGAAACATGTCAGTACGAACAGTTGCATAACGTTGGCACTCAAAAAAGAAGTGATATGCGTTTTCACAATGATGTAAACAATTTGGACAGTGTGAGTCAGTAACTAAGTTTGCAAGGAATAGGTCATCTTTAAGAGAACTGCATTTATGTCTTAACCTGGTATGTATAATATTTAGTTTTCTTTCGCCATACTTATAATAGCAAGGTTGACTAGTAGGAATATTTTGGGATAGAGCGAATTTAAAGGAGGGAAGAGGTAGAGACTTTATACTTTCGTCTAAAGAGTTCCAGTTTCTTAAAGCGGAGGGTAGGAAAGATTTGTTAGTAGTAGAAAGCCGATAATTCGGAACCCTGTATCTGTCATTGTTTCGTAAAACATATCGATTGATGTCACCTACTCTGGGGGGTAATAGATTAGAAAGATAGTTTGGAGTCATATTGTTGTGCATTTTATATATAAGTTGTAATTTTCTTTTAGATCTTCTTTCGGAAAGTAATTCTAGTTCAAATTCTACATATAGAGATTCATTTTTCACATAAGACGGTAATCCGGTTATTATTCTTGCTGCTTCGCGCTGAGCTCGCTCCAACTTTTCTGAATCTAATTGCGAACACCCATCCCAAACCTCGCAAGCATATTCTAAAACAGGTAAAATAAAACATTTGTATATTCTTAATAGTGCGTCTCGTTTTAAAATATACTTAACTTTTCTTAAAACGTTAATTTTTTTCATTGCTGACTTATAAATATCATCGATGTGGTCAGACCACTTTGCATTTGAACTAAAAATAACTCCAAGATGTCTATGCACTCTACTGAAATTTAGAAAAGTACCATCAAATATTAAATCAAGATCTTCATCAATATTATCTGAATTAGATATAAAAACAACCTGGGTTTTGTTTGGATTAAAAGAGACGAGCCATGTTTTTGCCCAATTATTTAATTTTTCTAAATCCCTGTTCAAAACTAGTTCAATTTCTTGACACGAAGAAGAAGATTTTTTAAGGGAGGTATCGTCAGCAAATAGACGTGCTGTTGATTCTAATTCTTCAGCTATATCATTTATATAAATGAGAAAGAGGAGAGGCCCTAGAATTGAGCCTTGGGGAACTCCAGCACCTATCATACCAATATCGGAAGAAGAGTTGTTTATATATACTTTCTGCTGTCTATTACATAAATAATTTTCTATCCAAACCAAAAAATCACCAGAGATACCATAAGATTTTAATTTAACTATTAGGCCTTTGTGCCAGACTCGGTCAAAGGCTTTGGAAATATCACAAAATATCATACAGGTATGTTGTTCCCTTTCAAGGTCTAAACAAATATTATGATAGATTTCTAGTAGCTGATAAACTGTTGAATGACCAGGCATGAAACCGGCTTGGTACTGATAAAAAAAATCATGTTCAAAGAAATAATTATACAAATGCTTAAAGATAACCCTTTCAAATACTTTACCGATCGTAGACAGAAGAGAAATAGGTCGATAATTAGATACTGAATGTCTATCACCTTTTTTAAAAAGGGGCATGACCTTAGCTGATTTCCACATATTAGGAAATGTACAAGTAGATAGGGAGAGATTGAAAAGAAGTTCGAGTGGTTTACAGACTGTATCAGCTGTGTACTTAAGCATATGATGACTAATTCCATCTTCGCCTGATGCTTTCCCAAGCTTTAAGTTTTTCAAATTGTCACAAATTTCAACATGGTCAATAACTATAGAGTTAAAAGAACTATTTGTTTTGGAATGTAATAAAGGCACTTCAATATTTCTATCATCAATATTAGTAATACTACAAAAATATTCATTTAATATATCAGCTTTCCTTTTGTCATCTACAAATAGAAGACCAGAGTTTGGATCTATTAAAGAAGGAATAGAATCGGTGGACCCAGTCTTACCTATTAATTTTTTAATGAGTTTCCAATATTTCTTGGGGTCTCCCGTACAATGATCAATAAGGTCAGTAGCGTTATCATAGAATGAAGCCCTCGCATGCTTTTTCATATTATTTACTCTATTTCTCTGGTTTTTAAAGTTAGTGATGTCCCTAGGATCTTTTTTACTATCTGTGGAAGCTAATTCATATAACGAAACAAAGACATTATTATAATTAAAATACATGTATCTTAATTTCAATCCGATGAAACGAAACAATTCCAATAAACTTGTCCGAGATGTGGGTTGTTATGCAAGTGATACTGCTAATTGTACATAACATCTTTCCAGCGCGCGCCATATTTGCCCGGCAAATTTTTAAGAAAAATCGCACCTCAAACTGGTAATGTACATGCTACATATCATTTTGTATTTACTATCCTGATCATTGTGTTTTACCAAAGGTAGAATGTGATTAAAGTAAAGCACATGAAATAAAATTTTTTTTTAGTGTTTTATGTATTTTTGCTAATCCTTTTGATCTTTTGGAGCAGCATATGATAATAAGTTACTATATGACCATTTTTCAATATCCTTCTCCGTATCAGCCTTCGATCTATATCAGCCCTCGGGCCTCCAACCTCTCGGGGTGATATGAAAGTCTCGGGTTGATAAGGAGTAGGATATGGAAATTATCTTATATATGATAGCCTCTAATAACAGGACACATCGGGTTTAGATTACGAAAACACAACTCTAGTTTCATATTCATCACTGGTATCAAAAACAAATAGTTGCAGTATTACTGTTATCTATGCACATGTTTGACCTTTAGTTATTATTTAAGCTAATTTTGTAATACCCAATTTATATTTTAAAAGGTTTTCAAAAACCTCGTTCTGATTTCTGGGGACTTGATCCTGGTTTTACCAAAAGTAATCCGCCCCCACACACACATTAAATATAGTATCTATAGTATTTAAGCAAGAATCTACCGACTCTTAATAGAAATAAAAGTGGAAGTAGTGAGGTTTGTGCTCATCTTCTATTACATCCTTCTTGTGTTCTTGGAGCAATAAATTTCCTTCTTTGGAAAAGGTATTGTCCTATAACTCTCACAGGATTGCAGACAAATTGAATAACGCGCGTTATTGTTATATACATGGTATATATTATATTATAACCATCAATAGAATATCCGGAATTAACCGTTTTTGTGTATTATTGTATTCCGTATCCGTATCTTGTTTCTATGTTTTGTTGTTTGACTTCCTGTTCCGGGAATAAAATGAAAAGTTGAAGAGTGAAGTTGTTTCGATTCATCTCTTAATACTCCTCTCAAATCGCAAACCCAGTACATGGTGGAGATTCCAAATTGGACATAATGTAGAGTGATATAACTTTGAGTGTGGATTTGGCCCCGGCACTTGCCGGTTGAGTTGTATTTTTGTTGAATTAACGTGCGTCAGATGTCAGGCAGATATTTACCACGTTTTGTTTCTTGAATGACTTTCTGTCCCGTGTTGCATGTTTGGATCCGTGATGACTGATGTGACTTATTTGTAAATTGATCAACTCACCACTATGATCCCGGAAAAAGTGTTGCACATTTTGAAAGCTTACAATTTGGAGCTCGCTAATTTAGACTGTTCTTTTGTTTTGAGTGAGAACACGGACAGTGTTTCCCTTACATTAAAATGGAAAAAAGAAAGCATGCCATATCCTAAACCAAATGTCAATACTTCAAAAGCGAGTGACAGTGCATGCACCTCCTGTTCAAGTTATCAGGAAGCACAAGTCGCCGTCCCAACTCCGATATGACAGGAAACGAAGGAGGGAGTTGAAGCAGAGAAAAAGGTCTTCCCATGAGAAGAAACCGATGTCTCCTGATCATTCACCATATCCACGAGGATCTACTGGTGAGCCATCTATACAACATGAAGATAAACATATTTGTAATACTGTGAGTGTGGAACCAGTTTGTGAGAAATTTGATGCAAAACCCAAGGTTCAACATCAACAGCCAACTACTTTTGCCCCAGTTCTAAATGATGCTATTGTTAATCATGTATCATCTCATTCTGTGCCGTCTCCAGGACCACGTTTGAAATCTGCTAGGTCAGTACCGACATCAGTCACTGAAGCATGTGTTTCTATTGACAGCAAGGACATGCTAGCATTTTTAACAGGAAAAAGAAGCGATCTTCCTCAGAAGCTTGTGTATAAGTAGATATTATCAAATTGAGCACTATTATTAGCATAATGATTTGTGAATCTTAGATCGTGACATTCTAGAGGATACCTATTCATTTTTGATGGACGTTGTTCCCCAATGAAGCCTATAGTTACCTTGATCAACCATTAACATTTCAGTATATCAATATTTCGGCCAGAACATAACTTTACCATATCCTGTTACTTCATTGGTGTGTTACTAGTAACGTGAAATTAGCTGTCAGTGCTGCAAGCTTGTTCATTTTTGATAATTATTCAATCATCTTGATTTCAAAAACATTTTTTGGTACATGTCATGTATAACTGTTACAAGTAGTTGTGTGCACGAAACCGTATGTAAATTGTATAATCAGTTTATTTTTGCCTATTTCAAATTAGTAAAAAAAAAAAAATGATGCCATTATAGCATTAGAATATATATTCAATTGATGGTTGTTTGAAAAAGTCAACGGGTCATTTTTTGTTCTGTTGGGGGGTATGTTATATACATGGTATATATTATATTATAACCATCAATAGAATATCCGGAATTAACCGTTTTTGTGTATTATTGCATTCCGTGTCCGTATCTTGTTTCTATGTTTTGTTGTTTGACTTCCTGTTCCGGGAATAAAATGAAAAGTTGAAGAGTGAAGTTGTTTCGATTCATCTCTTAATACTCCTCTCACATCGCAAACCCAGTACATTATGATATATTTGGGTATTCTAATCCGGTAGCACGGATGGGTTACCACGAGGAATGCGAATTGTTATCGATGTGGTATTTTGGCCTGGAGACGAAAGGTGAATTTAGCGATTGAAATTGAAAGTGCATCCGGAAAATGTTGCGTTTGTGAAGAATCCAGGAGTTACCGTGGTTGTGGAATGAAGATTTATTTGCATTATGTGTTGTTTGCATGTGTGCCATTTTCTGGCAGACGACATTTTTTTCGTGACGTCAATAATCAAATTTACACTTAATTAATATAGTGACGTCGGTCAAAACGCCGTCATTTAGTCACGACGTCACGAACATGTTCTTTACATCACTACACCAATGGAAATTATGTGAAAATTATGATCTGATATCTGTCCATTTTGTTTGGTAAGTTTGTATAGTGGCAATGCAGAGCTAATGGAAATATAGAACAATACCAATATGTTAATTGTACTTTTCAGGGACGACTTCTAATTAAAGAAAACAGGGCGATACTTATTTCAATACAAGTAACTGTAAGATCCATGCATACTGAATTTGTATATAAAGAAACGGTAAAAGTAAGAAAAACTTACAGTAACTTACATATAACGTGTGCTTATGAAGGATCATCATTCTTACCTTTATGACTGGAACATTTCCGTATCCCAAGCAGCCAGTTAGGTCGGGATTGAAATTTATCTCCTTTCAGCACAAGGGCCTCTCGGATCAAGTCGTGTCCCGAAACAATAACGGCATTGGTGCTTCCGAACGTCATACGAAAAACATTGCCGTACTTTTTACGGAGAAGGAACAACTTCCGGTAAAGAAAATTTCCATTGCCGACCATATGCAGGTTTCCGAATAACGGTATCGGGAAAGGTCCTGGCGGTAGGTGTCGCCTCGATATGACTAGATACACCAGGGAACCAACTAACAGCAGAAGGAGACCCATGTTAAACGGCGTAAAAATCTCTGACAAATTCGTACCAGCCACAGCATCTTTTAAAAACTTACGAGCCATTGTATACCAATTCGAAAAAGTTATTAAAATCGATTTGTTAACTTCCGGTATACATATTGATTCCCAATGTGCCCACGAAAGTAATAACGTCCGATGGCCGACTCTGACGTGATATCGAGATGGTTATTCTGAGGGCGGGCTGGCGGATAACTGTTTACTGTAACTTCTAACAATGACGTAACACCCGTCTCTAACAGCATCCGGGACCTGGTGCCAATATAAAACAGACCCGGCCGCTAGCTCTTTAAACAACGGACAAAGCTTGCCTTGCATACCACTTGCCCAAAATACACACAATGTATATAAAGAGTTGTTGATAATAAAATCACATATTGCTTTTAGTTACATTTGATTAGATAGAGTTTGTTTATGATAACATGCATATCATGTTAACTGAAAACCTCGTTAGGAAGGCGTGACTTTTAACAATGTTTTTTTTTTTTTTTTTTCTTCAAATAAAATAATATGCATATGAGTGATTTTAATGATATATGCTTTGTTCACAATCCTATCTACCTTTATATACACAGAATTGTCAAATTGAAGTATACATAAATAAAACAAAATTATTTTTATTACAAATTTGATAATTGGGAACTGAAATATTTCAGTGTGTTATCACCATTGCTTATACATGTGACATACTTCTTTTCATAAATAAACAAGAGATAGAAGGAATGGAATTTAAAACAATGTTCACTTGCACAAAGCCGTATCTCAGTTCGCCTCATATTACAATTCATTTCACAATACTTTGATATTTAACCAAAAAAAAACAAATTTGATAATTTTTACAAGTGAAACATCAGGAATTATCAATTTGATAAATAAATTATATCTTCACTCCTTAAATATACGAAATGTTGTAACTTCATATGTGAACATATCACCTCTAGTATTGTCCAATCAGTACGCTCTATTCACTGAGTGGATTTTCAGCGTCAAGTTCGTATGAATAGTCTCGTTCAACCAGACTCTTGTTGTCTGAGCAAGCTACGCCGAACAGAGACGTGATCAAGCGTCTGGTTGAACGAGACTAATGAAGCGACGGCAGAAGATAGTTTCCAATAGGATTTATTTTAATTTCTCCATTAATAACTAAAAGGGAGCGGGGGCTAGATATAAACCCTACCAGTAACCTATTCGATACGTCGTAATATCACTGTACAATATAATATGTTATCCAATTTTTCCTGTAAATGTACATTTCAGTATACCATATTTGATAAGATACTTGTATTATGTGTATTGTGAAAAAAGGAAATGATTGTGTCCGTTCATTAACTTTCCTATGTGCTATAAAATTTATGGTAAAATAATTATAATTAACACAACATCGAAACATCGACGAGTATGTTCTATAATGTAATCTGGAAGTGTATATGACTGTCACTAACGTCAGGTGTAACATCGTATTTACTACACTATGGCAGTGTATTTTATTGTTCTTTACTGTTCTACTAGATTGTATTTATTCGTGACATACGGTTCATCTGTGCGATTCAATGTATGTAACTATATTAAATCCTGTTATCATTACCTGTAACGTACGTCATTGAAAGTTATCATAGTATTAGTATCAGTGTAATATACTCTGGTATGATTTCACTGTATCATACCTTACGATGTTGGTGTATTTCAGTGTAAAATGCTGTCTCTTATGATGATGTATGCCATTTTGTCGTCCTGCACGATTAAGGGAGTTATCACGTATGCCATTGTACAATATGCAATATACTGTTTATGTGGAATGGTTCGCACCTATCAGTCAAGCAGCAAGCTATGTAATAGTACAATAGTCAATAAAAACCAGAAAGGCTTAATGATTGAAAATGGCCGTTTTTATTAAAACGGCATAACATAAAAATACATGTGCGACATAACATAAAAAATACATGTTACAATACATGTATTGAACACCCTCCTGAGAAGGTGTACCATAAACTGCATTTCATAATCAAATGCAATGCCATTCTCCGAATGACTAGTAGGCGAGGGGACAAAAAAAGACACCTTGCACATTGAGCCCTTTCATGGATAGTCTACCACACCAATGAAATGTTTCAATGATGCAACCTCCACCCATTGTAAATTTGCAATATACTGTTTAATTGGTATGTCATTGTATGTCTACTCTGCGATGTGTCTTACACAAGGAATAAAACAATCTGAATATGAAACATACAATTTCGTCACATCGTTGTACAGGTAAAATATGGTGGCATATTTCTGCCATCAACTTTCGACTTGCGCGTTACTTATGTCGACATACTGTTTAAAAGATGTGACATCGACTTGGCACCTATTCATGCAAAACAAAACGATTAGTTATCCAATCGTTTTCCATCAAAATACCACGTGGTTTATCGAAAGCTTATGATACTTAGGTTTAAGAACGATTAAGCCTTAATTTAGCTTTTGTATATCAGCAATATAAGTCACGTTATAGTTTCTTGGAGAATGATTTGTATATTATATATTTACATATTATTTAACTAAGGTTTAGAATGCTGACGGGTTCTTTGTCTCTCAACCTCTGCGTTTGAAAGATACACGTGCCCAATGTGGAACTTCCATGTGAAATACAATGTACGTGTTTCTCTTACCTTGGACAGGTCTATCCACACTTTTGCCGGTGTGGGATTAATATAAGCTTAGGGGTACGACAGAAGAATCTCAACCTAAGGGGTAAGATTATCAAATGTCTAGCCAGAAACTTTGCCGAGGGCCAGCCCTTTAAGAATCATACTCCGAGGGTTGAGATGTGCAGTCTTACCCATAAGGTCGGGATTTATTATTTTTCTCCCACATATATGCAAGTGGTCATTTCTAGAAATGCAAACGTTTATTTCATTATTTCCAACGAATCGGAGTTATTTTCCGTGATCTGATATTGTTGACGTCACATCATATAATTGCTTAGAAAGTAAAATCCCCTGTCCTTATCCTGTAGTGACACAGAAGTTTTGCTCATTTCCATGTGTGTAAGATAGAGCTGTCCAGGGTAAGAAAGAGGCGTAAGAAATGTCTTTCTCTTAGACTGGACTGGTGTTCAGGTGTATCCATACTTTTACCGGTGTGAGATTGTAGGATAGGGAAACTCCAACAGGGGGATTTCCAAATTTGAAAATCCCCCCGGTGGAGTTTCCCTTATCTTACACACATACATATGCAAGAGACTTTTTCTTTCATTCCGATCCTTCAAACTGCACATGAAACGCCAAGCTACTCGTCATTTTACAAAATTTCCATTTTTCGGTAATGGTATGACGTCACGTCAACAATACAATGAAAACAATACGATGACGTCTCGTCAACAATCCATCAACGTCACGTCAACCCCGAATTTAGCTAGGATTGAATCTTGCTTTGGTCGATTTCATGGAGTGATGAATTGAGTTGGTCTTAAAACAAATCTAATTAACTGCGAAGCCCATGAAATCGAACAAAGCGGGATTAAAACCTTATATTTCAGTCAACGTGTGTTTTTTCTTCAATAATTGGAACTTGTGAAGTCCATTCTGATAGTCTACGTTTTGACGTAATGTAAAAAATAAATAAAGTTCCTCATTGAAGGAAAATGATGGTGTACGTTGAGAGTTCAATACAGCCAAATTATGTCGAAACAGTAGGGTAAGTTTACAGTCGCCTCCTCTCAGATTCCTGGAGGTACCTCCGAAATTCCTGGAGGTGAGGAATTTGGGAGGAGGTGTAAACAAGATTGAACTTTGCGGAAAGTATGACGTAATGTCCCTCCGAAATTCTTTGCAATTCACCCGTATCCTCCACCTGTCGAGGTTATCCTTTGATCTAGATATACATAGAATGTGTAACGCTACAAGGTAGAATGTGCGAAGGGATTATGTGACGCACAAAAGGAAAGAATGTGTGGAGGGAGTTTGACCTAGACATGTTTGAAACGTGAAACGTCACAGTGTGGAGGGGACATACAAGACTGCAAATGTCCACAACAGACGATGTTGTAAGGTCTCCCCTTTCATGCTATTGTTAGACTGAACACATCCCGAATTAAAAATAGAGCTATAATATGTAGAAGTCGACTATCAAAATGTAGAGGTAAAGGTTGTTATTGTAAGAAAAGACATGTTCACAGTAGCCCAACTCAGTCAAGCTTTTGAAATGATGTTATCAGCAAGAAACAATTTTCACACTCCGCTAAACTAAACGCTTTAAATTCATAACTCGATGTATCGCACTAGTGACATTTCAAGGGTTATAACCTTAAGGCCTAAACATAACCATACATACAGAGAAAAGTTTGTCCCAGCAGCTTATTAGGTTAGAACGTTAGGCTAAAAATCTAGGATTCAATTCCCTATGTAGCCATGTGATTTATCAAATATAATCAACTTTACAATGAATCACACGAGAAAGTAGGATACTCTACTACAAAGTATATTTCAAGTCAACCATGGAACAGAAATGTGTGAGAAAACTTTCGCTATACCTGCTCCAATGAACATGAGAATAAAAATGGACACAGATTGAAAGCTTCAAAAGTAACAAATTTAATAATCAACAAAGTTAAAGTTTATACATAATTCTACAAAGATTCAAATAATAGTTAACAAGGCACCATTGAGTATTTTCTAGTATATAATTGCAATAATCAAATTAACCTGATAATAAAAAACACACACAGAATGAAAGTTTCTAAACTAACTAATTTAATAATCAACAAAGTAAAATTTTACACATAATTCTACAAAAATTCACATAATAGGTATCAATGTTTTCTAGTTTGACATATAATTACAGCACAATTTAACACCATCGCACAACCCGAGTATTTCTTTATGATATTTTAGATATTGGCACAGTGAAAACAAATGGAATATTTATGTATAAAAACTTTGGCATATTTGTTTTAGTTTGTATATGATTGCAACACCATCACACAATCAGAGTATTTCTTTATAACAGTTTGGATATTGACACAGTAAAACCAAATGGGATATTTATGTATGAACACTTATTTGTTTTAATTTGTATATGATTACAACAACAAAAGTCTTTTCAAGTGAAATTTTTAACAGGTATTCTAAGTCTGCCTCTAATACGTACCCTATGTCGCCATTTTTTGATATGTTTTCAACATCGAATTGTTCCACATTGTCAACCCACTGAAATTCTCCCGTGGGTAACTGCTCGGCC